CATGGTGACTGAATATAATATGTTGTCCTGAAAGGGAGCAGAAACATGGCATTATAGGAAAAAGTGGTGATGTCTAATCTGACTAGTCTTTACTTAATGACCGATGTACTTCTTCAAGGTGAGATGTCAGTAATAGTGGAAACTGAGTATCAGATGAATGGGAACTCTATTTCTGTGAATTGAAGATAATTTGCAAATTAAATTTGATTTAAATTAAAAAAATAAAAGCATGCTGTTTGGTTGTGCTTGAACCTAGAGTAAAATTATAGTAGATAATTAAGTACTTAACATTAACTTTGTGCCGGGCGGTGGAGGCACATGCCTTTAATCCCAGTACTCAGGAGGCAGTGGCAGGTGGATCTCTCTGAGTTCGAGGCCAGCCTGGTCTACAAGATCTAGTTTCAGGACAGGAACCAAAAAGCTACAGAGAAACCATGTCTCGAAAAATCAAAAAAAAAAAAAACCAACAAAACAAAACAAAACAAAAAAACAAAACAAAAAAAACCCCATTAACTTTGTTATTACCAAACCCATGCACTAAGTACATTGGAAGAGAGAAGTTAAAGGCATGTTACCTATGCCCAGGTGCCTTATCAGCTCACCAAAGGACTATAACATCAATGTATGAAATGATTGGCAAACACCGTCACCAATAGCCCCCCTACTTTCTATGATTTTATTTTCTAGCTATTTGTGACGAGCCACAGTCCGAAATATTGATGGATCCAGAAATAATATCTCATAAAATTTAAATTGCTATCCAGGGTAATGTGATGAGATCTCATGCCATCCTGTTTGCTCAGCCAGGGTGTGAGCAATCTCTGTCCAGCACACCCATGCTCTATGCACTACCCTTTGGGTGTGCTAGGTGAAAGAGAGCACATTTATATAACTTTTATTATATTGTTGTAATGGTTATATTTTATAATTAATTCTTATTACTCTCTACTGTGCCTAATGTATAACCTACACTTTATTATGGTTATGCACATTCCAGAAAAAAATAGAGTATATGAAAACTCAATCTTATCTACAGTCTCAGTGATGAGCAGGAGCCTAATGCTATGTGGATATGGTGGGACTGCTCCATGTTAGGTAAAGTAGACTTCTTGAAGTTAGAAGGAGACTGTAGAGATCCTACTGAGAGAGATCTTCACACAGGGAATGAAGTTGGATGAATATGTTAGAATGGCATTAGTGGGGGCAAGCAATGTAGGCGGACTTTACTTTCCCACCCACCAGTTCCCAAATAACAGACAGGGAGACTTGATATTAATTATAAATGCTCAACCAATAGCTCAGACTTATTACGAACTAGCTCTTACAATTTAAATTAGCCCATTTCTACTAATCCATGTGCTGCCCCAAAGTTCATGGCTTTTACCTCTTCTGCATGTCCTCCTTTCTTTTCGTCTGCCTGGCAACTTCTGTGACTCTGCCCTCCATCTTCCTAGCATTCTCTGTGCCCCCAAAATCCTGCCTAGCTATCAACCAATCAGCTTTTTATTAACAAGGAGAACAATTACATATTTACAGTGTACAATGATTGTTCCACAGTAAAGTAGTAGTCTCCCGTCTTAAATGACCATCAATAAAGAATAATAATAAAGAAAGACTTAGGAATTACTTCTTGGAATTACATAGCAAAGCATTTTCTGTACCTTTACCACATGGCATTTAGAATTTATACAGTGAGAATTCTAGGCAAAAATCCCAACTGCTAACCCAGGCTAGCCTCAGAATCCAGTGATCCTTTGGCTCAGCATCCTTAAGTGATGGAATTATAGGTATGGACCACTCTGCCTGAACACATGAGTTCTTTCTTTCTTTCTTTCCCTCCCTCCCTCCCCCTCCCTCCCTCCTTCCCTCCCTCCTTCCTTCCCTCCCTTCCTCCCTCCCTCCCTAGCTCTCATATTCATCTATTTTGTGTGTTTGTTTATGTGTGGGGTGCATATGTGTTTTCACATATTTTTGGCCGAGTGTAGGCACACATGCACATGTGTGTGCATGCATGTAGAGGCCTGATGTGGCTGTTGGGACTCATCCTCATCTGTTCTCCTCTACCCTCGTCACTGAAGCAGAGTCGCTCAGTGAAACCCTTAGCTTGCTAATTGGCTTGCTCTTGGCATAGGGGAATTCTTACTACTCACCTTCCCTCAGAATTGTTGCATTGTTGTAAACCAGTATGCATTGTGGGTTTTATTTACATGGCTGATTGTGACCTGAGTACTTTGAAAATGCAGTGAACCAAGCGAGGAAAGGGAGCTCTTACTTCCGTTCTTTCATTTCCATGCACCCTTAAACCCTTAGCACAGGTAGGCAAAGACAGACATTTTGTTGTTGGGTTGCCCTTCCTGAGAACAAACAAAACCAACTAGAGAAAATTTTATATCTGAATTTGTAGATGAGGGAGTTGACTGTTACAAATTTGAATTTGTTTGAGAAAGACCAAATATTTAACCACACAATTGTTTGTTTATTATTTATTCAATTGTTTATTAACTATTCATTGTTATTCATTTGTAGATTTGAGTCATTTTTAAGAAATGTAGTAACACAAATGGAGCACATTACCTTTGGTTTAAGTGCAGTGTGTTGTCACTTTGGGGCTAAATTTTCATAGCTGTCCAGTGTGTGTGTGTGTTTTCCCTGTCAGCCTTGTTTTTAAGAGCGGTCCCACACTGTCTCATATTTCACAAATAGACGAGTGAGCCCCAGGGATCACATGTGAGTGCCATCATGCTCAGCATTTTTTTTTTTTTTACAAATCAACTACAGTTCCCCCTCCCTCCCCCACTCCTGTTCCCTCCACCTTCCCCCACCCAACCTCCCATCCACTCCTCGGAAAGGGTAAAACCTCCCTTTGGGAGTCAACAAAGTCTGGCATCCAGAGTTGAGGCAGGACCAAGGCCCTCCCCCCTGTATCAAGGCTGAGCAAGGCATCCCACCATAGGGAATAGGCTCCATCCAAAAAGCCAACTCTTTCAAGCTCAGCTTTTTAAAAAAGACTCCGTTTCTCGGTAAAAATTTAGAAGCCAGTGCTTGCAAGGCAATTGCTCTTCCAAACCCCAGTTCTATTCATCTTTACTAAGTTCACCTTCTTTGACTAAAAACGTGAAGCCAGGTAGAGACTCTTTCATTGGTGCTGCGGTTATTACATTTTGCCTAAAGGCACCGATAATAGCTCCTAGTGTTTGCTCTCGGTTTCTCATAGCTTTGTCATTCCCTGGCCACTTCTCACTTAACCATCCTGCACTGTTCTCTTAGCAGCTCAGTGTGTTACAGTTGAGCTTATGTCTATGTCTTAGCTCTCCCAGTAGATTGTAATATGCAGGGGTTATCTTTGCTGCTTTTCTTTAGACATAGAGACTCTGGTAAAGTGCTTTGTTCATCACTAAAGATGGATCTAAGGAATACATACTATTCAGTAATTGCTAGGAATAGTTTCAGATGATAATCTGCCAGGGCTGGCTAATTCTTATTGTTGACATTCTAGGTTCCTGAAAGTACCACATTTTATATCTACTGACATCTAGAAATAGGCTAAGAGTTCACAAATTACTTGATACATTTCATGTTGCCCGAACTCCCCAGTTATGTGGCAACGGTTGGAAGCCACTGCATTGAGCCTTCCTGCGAGTATATTAGTGCACTAGATGCTTGTACTTATTGACTGTCAGTCATAGTTTTTCTTCAAGTGTTCCATGTAGAAATGAAAGTTTAATTTTGTATATCAGTGAAGAAATAGTACTATTAGAAAAATTAACTGTGTGGTACATTTTATTGGGAAAGAATTGGTCTTTTTAAAAGGACTTTTAGTATCCACCTAAATAGGGACCGGAAATTCTAATTTCTACTGGAGTAAATTGAGAAACTTTTCTTGGGTTTTGTTATTTGAAATGAATTATGTAGCCATAATCACAAATACTTTGGACCAAAATATAACCCCTGCATGTCCACACACATCCAGGAGTGAGATGTGAATTGAGAAGGGCTTTGCATGTGAGATTTTTTTCTTCCACATTGTCGTTTCCATTGCGTGGACGACTACTTTATAATAGATATTGATTGAGGTTTTTGAAATGCTTCTGCCTCGTGTGTCCTTTGAGTATTATTCCATAAAATCTTTTTCTTACATATTCTTTATATAGTCCAAGTATGTTAAGAAGTGGCTTTAAACATAGTTGTATGAGCATAGGTATATGAAGTCAGGCTCTCAAATGCATTTCATAGGGGAAACCTAGGAAGTATTACCTTGGTGTGATAAGGCGATAAAACAAACACGTAATCTCTACGTAATCATTTAATGAGGTAGCACAGACTATGAACTAATGAGTAGTACAGGTTATGCTATAAACTTAGTATACAGGCAGGCTTAGGTCTTCTGTGTTATAGATTTTGGTCTGAACCATAAAAGCGAGGCTTGAGTGATTCTGAGGCACATGGAGTCATTTCTGCTGATGAAGGTGCAGTTAGTGATATGCAGAGCGAGAGTTAGATCAGTGTTATTTGACATGGAAAGTTTCCAAGCAAAAAGGAGCCAGTTAGACGGATAAGAAGACCTGCAGGATCTTCACTTGTGAGACAGCATCAATAAGTCAGTGTTGATGGCAAGTGTATCTTCTGCACTGCACGTTTGATCTCTGTCTAAATTCATGTCTGTGGGCTCAGAAGCATTGACTTTGTAGAAATGTCTCTCACTAGAATTGAAAGGTAGACTTTTTTTTTGCCTCTTAGTATGATATCATTGCTTTTTCTTAAGACATTGTCATTTTTGTTTTACATTGCTTCCTTCCCTTCCCTCCCGCCAAACAAGCTCACAAATTCCCTCCACTCTCCTTCCAATTCACGGCCTCTCTGTTCATTAATTGTTATTGCATGCTTATGTGATTTGAATATACATATACATTCTTAAAAAAACTGTTGAGTCCAAAAAAAAAGAAAAAGAATAAATGTTACTTGCTAAACAGTGTCAATTTCCCCCTCCCCTTTGGCTCTAGATTAAGAAGAAACAGCAAGATGTGCTTGGTTTCTTAGAAGCCAACAAAATAGGATTTGAAGAAAAAGATATTGCAGCTAATGAAGAGAATCGGAAGTGGATGAGAGAAAACGTGCCTGAGAACAGTAGACCAGCCACAGGGTACCCCCTGCCACCTCAGATTTTCAATGAAAGCCAGTACCGTGGGGTAAGGAAGCAATTTAAATCTTGTTTCTTGAAATATATTGTCTCACATAAACTTAGACCTTTCAACGTTACCTCCCAGCACACGGTCATTCGCTCTCTGCAGCCACCCTAAGCAGTTTGTAGTATTACATAGTATTTTGCTTTCTGGGAACAAAAATCAAAGGAAGAAACAAAACATATAAATGTATAAGGACAGACACGGGATGTATGTTTTCAGTTTGGTTCTAACCAGACCATGGTCTGCTTCTTGGCTGGAATCTGGACTCTCTTGGGCTCCTTTCCTGGTTTCTGGGGTGTACATTCTCCACCGGAAGTTCCTCCATTATGGGACTTCCTCTTTTATGAACAGTCCTATTCTCTTCTCTGAGGCTTCCTTTCTAGATCTATTATTTTTGAGACAGCTGAGACTGGTCTCAGATTCCTTTGTTGCTAAGGGTGAATTTGTACTTCTGAGCCTTCTGCCTTCATCTCTCATTGCTGGGATTACAGGGGCTTTCCACGGTACCTAGGCTCGAGTAAACGTTTTCAGAGGCACCAGTAAAAATCCTCTACATCCCTGGTTTATGTAAGACTGAAAAAGGTATCTTTTTTTGAAGAACCTCTTATTGCTAATTAGTGCTGTCTAGGGCAAGGGTATAGACCAAAATGGGAAAGTTCTGTCAGTGCTGTTGCAGGTTTCATATGCTATCAAGCACAGGGCCAATATGTAAATTAGATCCGAAGATAGGTGAAGGTACTTAGGCTATTCTTTTGAATTTCTGCAAATCATTGACTCTCAGCAGCTAGAAGGGGCTGCAAACATCAGCCAGCCCATGCCCAGGTTGTATTTGTATATGTAGGACACAGACACACCACACACATAAACACACACACACACCACACTCATGCACACACATTTATTTATTTATCAATTAAAATAGAGGTCATGAATTCAAGGGGGTGCATGGAAAGGGGAAAGACAATGTAATTAATGTTTTAATTTAAAAAATAAAACAATAAAAATGGTTAGTTGGTCCTGTATAATCCATTATGTGATTTTGATTGCTCATTTTAGAACTATTATTTTTTTTAGTGGCATAGAAGTTGGTTCATAGTCTTATTTTACCATGTGATGTTTTGATCCAAGTGTGCATTGTGTTCAGCCACAAAAAGATGAGCACATCTTCTATCTCCAACCATTTGTCTTTTTTTGTATGTGTTGAACACTTTCAAAATCCCCCTAGTTTTTAGAAAATATAAAATGTTATTGCTATCTCTCTTTTGAAATGTCTTTTGTTTGATTTTGAAAACAAAACCGCATGGATCACAAGAGTACAGAGAGAAGCCACATCTGTCTGGTTTGCCTCTTCCTTGGAAGCTACATTTCAGGGGAATGAAGTATCTTATAGGATAAAAAGACAAGTATCACTAAGAATTTAAGTGAAGCTTCAGAAGGTGAGACTCAGTAAACCAAATACATATCTGTTAGTGGAAAAGGAATCCATTTTCTATTTAGTGCTGCTCTGTGCCTAATAGACAGGGGTTTCATGAAAATGAGAATTAAGATTTTGATTTTATAAAGCCTCAGAGAGAAGAGCTTGTAGCAGTCATTCACAAAAAAACGTATCCGCTAATGATTCTGCTCTGTGCTTTGTGTGCTACAGTAATTCCCATACCAATTTAGAGTGCCAGGCAGCTTTGCTAGTAACAGCTTTTTTTTTGGTTTTTTGAAACAGGGTTTCTCTTACTAGTAACATCTTGTAGTTGCTAATCTCTGGATCCACTCTATCTCCTGTTTGCCTTTTTTAACTAGGAGATAGCTTTCCAGGCTAATTTGCTTTTACTTATCTGAGGCTTTCCCAAGCTTGGTACTGCCGACACCTTTTGTTGTGTAGATTCCCTGTGCATTGTAGGCTCTTTCATAAGAACCTTGGCTTCAACCCCTGTAATGACAGTGGCACTCGGTAGCTGAGTAACAAAAAATGATTCTAGGCATTGTCAGCCCCTGTGTGGAAATTACCTGCTCCTGAATGCCACTGGACTGTAGCACAGGATCTTATTATCTGACTAGATGGTGACAGAGGCCAATATCCAACCTTTATGTGTGAAACTCTGCTATAGTAGATAGGAAATTTGTAAGGAGAATCCTTGTTCTGAATGTCTTGTACAGAAGAATGAAATGAGAATTAACATGTAGCAAAATATGGTGTCATACAATCTTGTTTAATGTTAAAGTTTCATTACACTTTCTCCCTTAAGAGACTTGTTCCAGAATGCAAACTACCTTGCTTAATGTTGTATATTTAACACCAAGAACACTGCTTATGCTAAGCATGGGGGCATATACCTGTAATCCCAGTTCATTTGGGAGATAAAGTCTGGAAGATAAGGACTTTGAATGCACCCTGGAATACATAGTGAGACCATTTCTCCAAATAAAACAAACAAAAAGACCCCTGTTAGTTTATATAATTCTATACTTAATAAATATTTGTGGAACAATTGAATGGCTCTGGTTTCATTAGGAAAGAAAATATCCTTTTTCTTTTTAGATTCACAAGCATTTTTTTTTGTGTCTGGAACCAACAAATGATAATATAACTTGACCCTGAAATACTTGAAATAGGCAATTAGATCCTCTACATAGCATCATATTACCAGATTTTATTTATACAAATTAAAGAACTTCTTAATTTCACATGAATCTAAAGGCTTATATGAGTTGTTTTTATTAATTTTTGATAATAAGAATACTTTCCTGTGTGGCTCCTATATTTTTTTCTTTTGAGACAGGGTCTCCACGATCTCGCTTTGAAGTGCACGGTGACTAGAAGATGCTCTATGCCCCAGGCAGGCCTAGAATTCATGATTAGGCTTCTGTCAGTCAAGTGCTGGGATTATATGATGTACACAATGCCTGGTACACTGGCTTCCTTTAAATTATATTTTGCTTATTTACAACTGGTTAAGTGTAGATATTGGATATGTTTTTTAAAACCTTGAGTTACTTACCAGTCTCAGCATAGAATTGGTGTTAGAATCCTGATAGTTTTACTTTTGAGGAAGGAACTCAAAATTTTATCTAAGAGGTAAGAAAAATACATTGGTACCATTGGTGCTATTCTCTGCTTTTGTAAACTTCATTGGCTCAAATTTCACATGTGAGTGAGAACATATATGTTGATGTATATCAACAGATAAATGACCAAAAATGGGATAAAATGGAATTTTATCCAGCCATAATGAAAAACAAATTCATGACATTTGCAAAAAACTAGATGGAATTAGTAATAACTATTATTTTCTATTGAAAATAATTTTTGGGGGTTGGAGAGATGGCTCAGTGGTTAAGAGCATTGCCTGCTCTTCCGAAGGTCCTGAGTTCAATTCCCAGCAACCACATGGTGGCTCACAACCATCTGTAATGAGATCTGGTGCCCTCTTCTGGCCTGCAGGCTTAATAAATAAATATATATTTTAAAAAAAACACCATTAAAAAAAAAGAAAATAATTTTTTCAGCTGGGTTGGGTGGCGCACGCCTTTAATCCCAGCATTTGGGAGGCAAAGGCAGGTGGATCTCTGTGAATCTGAGGGCACCCTGGTCTCCAGAATGAGTTCCAAGACAGCCATGACTGCTGCGCAGAGAAACTGTCTCAAAACCAATTCATAGTAACAGTTATAGTAATAATAATAATTTTATGCAGTATATTCCAATCATATTTCTGATCTCCTCCTGCAACTCCTTCCAGATTATGCTCATCTTCCCTTCCATCTGACTTCACCTTCTTTTTCTGGCTTTTAGAAAATAAACAGACAAATAGGAGACTAAGCACTAGAAACACACAGGCAGTCAGGTAGACAAACAGGCAGACAAACAGACAGACACACACACACCATAAAAATACAAAACCAGAACCACAATATACAAGCAAAAGACCACTAAGAAAAAAATGTCCAAAGTATTACGACACACACAGAAAACTCTCCAAAAATACCATCAAGTTCCTTTGTTTTAGCTCTCTACAACTGGCCATGAAGCCTGCCCAGAAATGGGGTCTATCTACCCGGTGAGACTATGCTGGGGAGACCTAATATTTCCTTTGCAAGCTGTTGTCAGCTGGAGATAGCTTCTGGCTTAGGGATGGGGGCTGTGCCCACTTCCCCTCTCAGCACTGGGACCCAAACTGGTTTAGACCTGTGCAGGCTGGCTTGTGCCAGTCTCTCTGAAGTCATATGAGCTTTTCTCATGTTCATTTAGAGGGCTTTGTATTCTTGGTGTCCTCAATCCCCTCTTTCTCTTCCATTCTGTCTCCTCTTCATTATACCTCCTTGAGGTCTGAGGGGAGGGATTTGATGGAGACATCTCAATTAGGACTGAGCGTTCCAAGGTCTCACTCTCTGCACATTTGTACAGTTGTGTGTCTCTATGTAAGGACTGGACATTTTTATCTGAACCAATAATCCAGAAAAGAAAGTTGAATACTCATGTTTCTCATATGGATCCTGTTTTTTAATGTGTGTGTGTGTGTAGATACAGGTCATAAACTAGATAAAAGACAATAGGGGGAGGAGGCATTTTAAAGGGCATGTGTGGAGGTAAGAAGAAAAGCAAAAAAAAAAAGGTAATGGTATGCACGTGACATAAAAGCAGAAGAGTAATAGCGGGAGGAGGAAGGGGGCAAGCAGGTTGGGGAAGGGAGTAGAGGAAGCAAAGCAACAAAAATTCCCTCTGAAAAATCCCATAATGTGAGGTTGGGGAAATGACTCAGTTAAGTTTTTACTGCACAGGCATGTGAACCTGAGTCCAGCTCCCCAGTTTCCATGTTAAAATGGGGGCTAAACAGAGCATGGTGCCTTTAATGTTCAGGTTCAGGGGGAGACCCCGTTCTGGCAATGAATGACCTCTTGCCTCTACACACATGTACAGAAGTGTATGCATACACACAAAACACATACATACAACACACCCACAAATCCCATAATGAAATCTTTTACTTTGCATGCTCATAAAAAATGCTAAC